TACAGGTATAATGAAATGTCATACAGCAATTATAGCGACCTGACATGGATGTGTTTTTTGGTTCATGCAGTCTTTGATTTTGGTCAAAACAACACTTGATGTTTCAATTGTTTTAGTGCACCTCTAATACAAGTAGATGCACATAAATAAAAAATACATAAAATATGACTTATTTTGACCATAGACCATTGAATACTAATAACAATCAATCAACTCAAACGGTAACAACATTATTTATGCAAAAGACCCTAGGGTCTATGCTTATACAAATAGAATACTATTTCTGCTAGAAGACATTTTCGTCATTTCAGAATTCCGGTAATGAGATCTTTACTTCAACTAACTTTGTGATTTCCAAATATTTTTTTCTCGTCAATCTAATATATTAACATATGATGTATACGTGGTACTGTTTCAATCTGCTTTACGAAAATCAGATGATAACCTCATGAATAATATTACCTTCATTTCATTTAGTTTGAGCTGACTTTCATAATCTTTTCTCTCCGTACCACTTAGGCTTGCTTGATTCAATGAAGACAGCTTCCCCAGCAATGCAATAAATGAGTAAGCTCTATTTTCAAAGTCGACTACTGGAGTTTGATATATCAACTAGAGGAGGAACAACAATATTTAAAAGATGACGTACAAATACATGTATTTATTGTCCTATTTGTAGAAGAAGAAATACAAAGAAATTTAGTTATAATACGACAAGTCATCGTCAATGGTATACTTCCCTCCAGGTTGTAATTACTGTGTGAATATTAACAATGCAAAATTTATATTACAATCAAATGAAGAAAGAGTATTCAACATAACATGCTCCCCACTGAGTAAAGACAACAGAATCTGTCATAGTATGTCAAATGATAACAGTCTGAGAAATGATAACACCAACATGGCCACCAGTCAGCCATTTTAAAATCTGAATCAAATCACAAAGCAAACTGACATGTATTGGGACCATTATGTATTCAGATACCAAGTTTGAATAAAACTACCGGTATGCATGTTCGACAAATGAAAATAAAACCAGTCATTTTGTATCAAAGCACAAAGCACATGCATCAGTGTGATAACCATACCAATTAGGTTGCATGGTCCCTGTGGGTTATCTAGTTTAAGAAATATATAAATAATACGCAAAGGATTCGGAGAACATATATCTAGCAAGTAAAGGTCTTCTAGTGGCCATTATTTAGTTTTGCCATAAAACGATACAAAGCAGGCATATCAAATCTGGACACAACTTGGTTACCATAAACACTCTATGTTAATCAATGTTAATGACACAGCCCCTGTTGCAATTAACGTAAAAGTTATTTATTCCTGAGATATTGTAATTTGGCCAATATTCAAGATGTGTACATGTATAAATCTGTGTATAAAGACCACCTGTCTTATGTGACCATTCTTTCAGCAATATTCTTACAGATTCGCTGGAATTTATAGAGATCAAAATCACAATTTCATTGCATTCTATTTTAAAAGTTGTACATAATTGATTTTAATGTGATTTTGTTGCAACGGTAAATTTATTAATTCTTGACAAATACTTCAAATGTAAGAGTTAGCAATTCATAAACAGTTATCTATACAATATAGAATATAAACCTCCATATAAAAACCACCTGTCTATAAAGACCATTTTTATAATGAAGTCTCTTAGGTGATCGCTATACACAGGTTTGACTGTATAATAAAGATGAAGACATACATTTGGTTCAGCTGACGGCCATGACAAACCAGATATCTGATGACCAATGCTATGCATTCTGTCGAAATATATCAATTGACAATTGCGGGCAGGCACCGACATTACAAGCTTGACAGTGGGTGAGAGTTCAGAAAAACCGATACCCCTCAATACAGATGCTGGTTTAACAGTTATCTCTTCAAGAAATCTAGCTAATGTGTCTCCAAAACTTCCACTGGGCGCTAAAATGAGAAAGTTAATACACAGTCAGATATAACAGGCTCTTAAAGTATGCTGATATGAGAGAAATATTTGAGTCACCCATTGAACTACTCTTTTTTGAAACAAAATGTCATAAGGCTATTTTGAACCCAATCTACCAGTCAGCTCTAGGGTTTTGAACTCCAACCAGAAAGCAAAATGACATACATCAAATCCTATTGTGTTCAATGAATATATCAAGTTTAAACCAAATCCGTCCATGCACGTTGATGCATTTTGGCCGAAAAATGGCTGCCATTCTGCCATCTAAAATGGATCATGAAACAAAAGCATGTATATATGTCCGATATAATGTCTGATGTACATGTACGTGTGAACTTTGAACTTCATCAGTTGGAGTATGTGGCGGATACATGGACGCACACTGTTTTCGAACTTTTTTCGAAGGGAACTAAAAAATAGCAATCGTAATTGTTATATATTCGTAGTGCATGTTGTGCAGAGGTATTTCTACAATCAAAATAGGTTTCACTATACAACACTTGTTGATATGTGCATCTAATGGAGATGAGTTCCAAGAGCAAATATGGTACTATGGCTGAATTTTGTGTAAACTGACAGCACTTTTTTTGTTCAAAATATTTACTCACCTGGATGCATGTTTCTTTGTTGCGAATCCATCGGCAAGTCACAGTACCATCCATAATGGCCAACGGTTCTCCACGATGTCTGATCCAGTGAAACAGAGCTTACGACTATGCGTGCATATGTCTGGTACCTATACAGTAGTGTAACATATTTTTATTTGATTAAATTGTTGCCAGTGACATTGCAAAATGTACATTTCAATTAAATGCAATTTTTTACCCATAATGCAATGCATCAATGGCGCCTGATAACAAAGCTAGCAATCATAATTTGTGTACAGTGTGGTCAAGAGAGGGCGCCATACTACATGTTTACTTTCAGTGTGGTAGAATACTATAAATCTGCGTTTAGTATGGTCAATAGAGAACTGCAAAATTATACATTCAATTTTCAGTATGGTCAATAGTAGGCATCATACTATTAATCTACTTTTAGTGTCAACAATAGAGGGCACCATACTACACATCTACTTTCAGTGTTGTCAACAGAGGGCGCCATATCTATTTACTCGCTGTCAGTGTGGTCAATAGAGGGCGTCAAACTTTTTACAGGCTGTCATTGTGGTCAATAGAGGGCGCCATACTTCACATGCACTTTATTCTACTTCCATTCCTACCTCATAATCATCAACTTGGCATTCATTTTATGACTGAAATCTGGTTGAATAATCTCAATGACACTTTTGTTTGGACATTCACATTTGACATCAACTAACTCTCCACTTTCTGTTTCATATCCTATCACCTCTTTACGATGAGATATACAATCCAATAGTTGGTAGTTACAAACTCCTTTCTGATGGTGACGCTACCAGGAAAAAACACAAAACAAGCATTAATATTACAACAGGCGTGCACAAATATACTGATCATGTACATGTAGATATATCTCTGGTAGAACACTGCAAATCCATTTTGTTTGTTTTTTGCAATTGTTTTGACTTTGGTACTTTCAATCCTAACAGCCTGTGCTGGGGGGGGGGGGGGGTTTCACTTGCAAATAATACTGACAGGGGTGTGTAGCTGGTTGTTTGTAACCCCTACCTCTTATCAGACAGAAATAAACTCAAATTGTCTACCCTTTTTCAGACAAACTATGGATAATTGACACCCCAGGAATAAACTTTGACGATCGAAATGAAGTTAGA